CCTGCACATTAATGATGCACTGTGTTTAGTACACCATTGCTAAAATCTATGTTTTCACCATCTTGATATCAGCATGTTTCTTGCAAAAAAGAAAAAATGGCCAAAAAACTGAGATGACTGTGAGGTTTCTACTTTCCAAAGAGGGGTCATTTTTGGGTTTTCCTACTGTCCTGGCAATTGTATTTGATGTATTTTATAAGACAAAGTAAAGGAAACATTAAAAAAAATTGGTCTGCTTATCCTTATATTGTAAAAAAAAAGTGGTTATTAAATACCACCAAAAGAAAGTTCTATTTGTCTCAAAAAATAATATACAATTTGTTTGTTTGCAGTGTTGCATGATATTTAATTGTCATTAAAAATACCACAGAAAAGAACAATGGCCAGGTAATGAAGGGGTATTCCAGACTGGTACTCAAGTGGTTAAACCTGACTATGAAGCTGCACACCAGTACAATGTACTCCAGCAAAAGTGATCATTACATTTATTATAAAATTGTCCCAATGATGTGTAGGCTCTGTATGGATAGTGTAATTGTTGTAGTAGTGTATGCTTACCTGCATGCATACTGCCAAAGAGCTGTGCTGCCTCCTCAGTTTTCATTCTAGCTGTGAGTAACATGCAGGCAACTGTCACAACTCAAATGCCTAAAAGGCTTTGGCATTTGGAGGTTAAGGCTTCTGCAGTAGTACCACAGCGAATATGTATATGGATCTTCCACATGACTGGTGTTAGATTAACCAGTGGTGAAAGTTCTGCATATCAGGCAAGTGGCAGTGATAAGTGAGTTGGTAAAGCCCAGTGAACTGTGTGATAGGTAACCAGTGCTTGCATTGCTGCCAATAATAGTTCACAAATTCACCACTCTGCATGTTTTTTAAGTTGCATATGTTGTGGAATTTTAGAGGAACGTTGAACCTTTACAGTTACTTTACTGGAACTGGCCCTCCATGCTGTCACTTGTTATATTTATTGCATACTTATTATTTGTTTCTCCTTCCATCACTCTATTGCTTTCTTGTAATTTCAGTGTATAATTTGCATGAACATATATAATAAACATAGTACATAAAATTATGTAATTTCCCCTCTTAAAACTGATATTTCAGCTAGTATCATGAGAAAAGATTAGTGGCAGGACAAGGTCATATAGTGCCCAGGGCAAAGATGCCAAACTGCAACCCTCCAACCCCAGTGCATACCCAATTGTCTTCTGCATCTGGGATCCCACTTCCAGCTGCCACTGTGCGTGTCTCAGGGTCAAGGCCTGCCAGTCGGGTTTCATGTGGACCCAGACATGTGCAGTGATATCATACAACCTTTCTGCTGTGTGTTCTTTGCCCCTGCCAGTCCCATTGAGCTGATTGTGAACTGCACCAGACTTCCCAGAGGCAAAACAATGTGATGAGAATACCTGGGTACTTTTGGAAAAGCCTGGGATTGGGGGTGGGGCAAATGGAGGGGCTAATAGCTGCCCACAATGGTTACCATGTTAAAATGGAGGGTATAGTTGCAGTGTGCATGGTGTGCCACAGCAAATTCTAGGGATTAATAGTGGTTCACATATTAGTACTATAATAATATGGTCCTTTAAACAAACAGCTCTGACTTGACAATACACAAACAAGGTGCATTTGGAGCTAATTTCTAAAGGCAACTGAACTCATGTAATGCTTTTCTATGACTGACCGCACACCTAGACTTTCAGCAGCGTCTAGGTGCATTCAGTCTAGTAGCATTTACCCAAACTAGGATTTTCTGTTTTCTGGATTTCTGTAACCGCTAAACATGTGTAAACATGTGTAAATATGCATAGGATTGTGTAAAAATAACTTAGCCCAGCAACAACTAAAAATAAAAAAAGTGATCTGGGAAGCATAAAGGTGTTAAACTTACCAGACAACATCTGTTAGGCCAAAAAGCCAGCGGAAAAAAAAATAACATTCTTAAAGTGGACCATTAGACTCAAAAATCTAATTCTACCAATGCATCCCTCAATGTATGATGATTAATAATAATATAGACATGTCAGGTGTAAAATGCTGTGATTTTGAAATACTTACACTTGCAGCACATTAATTTCCTGCTTTGAAAGGTCAAAATGACTTCAGTTTGCCAAAGCAATGCACACTGGGATTGCCTTGTCATCGGCAGAGCATTGCTGTGAAATCTCATCTGTAATCTAAGGTGATCTCAGCAAAAGGCATTTTCCTCCCCTGAGATGATCTGCATGGTCACATGTCCTAGTCACATGTGCCAGAGTTTCCCAAAGTAAAGGGAGAGCTAGTAACCTGCCCTTAGTAAACCTGGCCACTGTCAGAAGCCTGGGGAAGAAAAGATAAATAAGGTATGCAAAGAATACAAAGCCTGACATTATTTAGAAGTATGTGTTTGTAGATTGTCATTACTAAACATTTCTAAAGGTGTGTTTGTGTTATTTTAAAGCTATGGGTAAAGGTCCGCTTTAACCACAAGAAAAAAAAATCTATTAGCACAATAACAACCGTATAAATTATTGCACACATAATTGCACGTCTTCATAGCCTTATATTCCCAAACAATACTTCAGTTGGTTGCTCTGCTTGCCTTTATCATGTTTTGCATGACCAGCCATATTTTAAATGTTATGCTTATAACTGTATGTGTCTAAGTCATACAAACCAGTTAAAATAGCATCCCAAACCAGAGATGTTGTGTGCAACATAAATACCATAAATTGGAAGCAAGAAAGACACGGGTAATTCATAAACCAGCTTAAAATGTATTTTCATACTTCATTCCATATGTAATAAGCATACTGTATATCCAAGATTTAAAATCAAATGCAAAATAGTTGAAATTTACTTTTCAAACAAAATAAATTCTTTTATTGAAATTCTTTCATTAACACATGCAGATCATAAATGTTGAGCTGTTGGCCCAGTCATAATACTATACTTCATGGGAGTTTTCACTTTTGTCTAAAAGTGGACCAATATGAAGACTTCCTCAGTAAAGTAACTCAGGTCTCTATGGTGTAAGTTCTCATTGAAGACTTGTTTTCTTTCAGGCAAATGACAATCAGAGGACCACTGTATTTAAACTGATGAAATAAAATACCAGTATTACCCAAGAAGTAGTTCATGTCTTGAACCGAGATCCTCTTTTAGTTTAAAGTGAAAGCCCTCACTACAATATTGTGCTGTCTGTAATGGAATATTACATGAAGGAATGCTATGTATTAGCATGACAAAGGCTTAATACTGATCATCACATTTGTTTTGTGAAAATGTAGTGCAAACCTTTGTGTCTTTAAATAATAGCTGTACTATTGTATTTCTTATACACCAGACCAGTTTTTACAATAATCATATAAGATTGTACAGCACACATTAAGGTTCATATACTACCCAACCAAATTCAGAGTCACTTTTTTTTATTTTGCATGTAAAGGTTTTCATTTATCCAGGTCATGTTGCAGCTAGTAGTAGTTAGTCACATTTAGCTGAACTTGTTCTGTAATGTTATTGACATTTTATCAATGCACTACCCACCTGTTCTGACACCTATTCACATCTTCAGCCATGTAACTCAAACAGTTATTACCTGTCCTAGACTTTCTGACAGTAACATGACTAATCAATGTGAACAGGTTGTTTTGACTTCTCCCCTTATTATCTTCTTCTAAATCAACATCTGCCTTGACAAGGTTCATTCCGCCATGGTGATTGTATTAGGTATTGCCCGTGTGACCTTAAATGCTTAAGTATGTTATTGGCACTCATTTAAACTGGGGAATCCTCTTGGATAAGTGATGAAACTTCATCAACATTATAGAACAAGTCCACTTGAATGTGGCTACTACTATCCTTTTTTTATTTTGTTACTTTTTAATATTTTACTTTATTTTGTATATAAAGGACAAGTTAGAAATATGTACACATTAATCTTGTATTGTATCTAAATATTTGTACATAATAAGGTCAACTCTTACAAATATGTATTCTATTTAAGCCTTGAGAGCTTTCTAACAATATCCTGCATTTGTTGACTCCACTTTTATCAAACAAGGATCCTCCAACACAAAGCCAAGTTGAAACATTGGTAGCAGCATAGAAATATATAGGAGAACAACAGAGGGCCTTAATGGATCTAAATTTGTATAGTCTGTATACACATAAAGCCTCTTGCACTTCCACAGTTTTAGATGGATGGATGCTTTATGTATAGTTAAAAAACAAATTGAGCTGAAACTTACAAATGCCATCTATTTGTTTTTAACCCCACTGTAAAACAACCTGTTTCCTGCAGAAAAAATATACAGATGAAAATGTAACATTTAGTAGAATCACTAAGAGTGGCAGAACCTCTCAGGTACAATTGTTCTCTGTATTACAATATTGATTTTTTTGTTTTTGTTATGAAATGTCTTTGAACCTGGATGCTAAGGACTGAAACTGACACTCTATGTGCATAGCATCCACATATTGGCCAAGTCAAAGAGAAGAATGTAATGGGCCCTGGCATTTAAGTGACCAAAGATGGACGGATGTCTCAGAGGGTCAAATGTCTTGAAGACTTTCTCTATCAATGAGGTAGCTGACTGTCCATGACTGGCATTAATATTAAACAATTTTTTATCTGCCTGCAGTATCCCTCCCTTTTATCTGCCTGAGACTTGTCCCTCATTAATAATACATTTAATTTTTTTTCTCCATGATTAGAGGAAAGCTTGACTTTATATTCATATAAAACTAAAGAGGTACTAATGCTAGGACTGCATAATGTTCATACTGTGCCATATGCTTGAGGAGCAGGATTCATATTTGTTTTAGTAAGCAGTTTGCAGCAAACAGCCATTTGGACAGTTGATTAAACTGCTAAATTGAACAGCATGTCAGTTTGTGATTACTTGTGTTTTAATGTGTTCATATTTAATTTCAGACAACTCTTTGATCAGGCACAAGTACATCAAAAGAACACTGTGTTTTTTTTTGTCTCTACACAGTACCAGAAATGGTAAAAACAAAGTACATGATTTAGGTTGGGGATCTATAGCACAGTCAGTCATAGATCACATGTTAATGAACGTAGCTTGTAGCATTTGTTTGCGACTGCTTGTAAAAGCAATTAAACAGAACTCCAACAACATACAGAAGACTAAAAAATAAATACATAAAATAGAAACATGGTCTCCAGTTTCTTAATTGTCTATTTGGTAACCTCGGTCTCTGCTTTCAATGTAACTCATCTTCCTTGAATGCACAGGATGCAGATGACTTCCTGATCCAACTTTCAGGTTCCAGTTAACATTGTCTCTATAGTCAATTGACTTCTGAATGTCACTAGAGGATGCACGAGCAGTAGATGGATTCATAGCCGCTAAACACCGACAAGGGCTGCTGGTACTTCTTCCACGACTCAGAGGAGTAGCTGGAAAATGTCTGTGCACGAGACATCTTTGTTGTACTGAAACTGTTACCTATACAGGAAGACATTATGTAAATAAATTAGTAATTACAGACGTTACTACCTATGTATACACCTTGCAGTACAATCAGCTACAGTTTGGTTTCCTGTCTGGGCTCTGTCTGTAGGACTGAGATACTTGCTATCTGCCTTGGAAAAGTTATTTCTCTTAGTAATTTAGAGATGTTTTATAGGATTACTTGGCTTTTATGGCTTCTGACAATATCCCCAGATTAGAAACAGTAAATATTAAAATATTTCAGTCTACATGCATAAGATTTGGGGGTCTTTGATGCTTCATTAGGCTCGTTCTTGGCAGCAAGTCGTCATTAGCAACAAGTGTTCACTTAACACTGAATTATCACTTTTGGGAGGGCTCGGTCTTTAAAATATGAGAGATGTCGTGTTAGTTCCTCATTTTATTATTAGCCCAGCACTGTCTCCTAATGCTCAAATAGTGTGACAAACACAGGACTTCTACTCTATTAACGTTATATCCAAGAACATTCTCAAGCACTACCCCAATATCATAATCATTACAAAAATATTCTTACATTATAGAAACATTTTATACATTAATACCTTCTATGGACATTAAATAATACAATTCTATATACTTGCCCCCTAAAATGTATATTAAGGTTAATAACATGGTTAGCAAATTCTTCTAGTCAAGGTTAAGAAACCTGGAACACATCAATAGTAATAATATATAATATAAAATCTATATACATGCATTATAATACAAGAAATGCAAAAGTAATATACAGTAGATATATTGTTATACCCTGCCCTTTTATGCTGCCATAAGAAATAATGTCAAACCAATAGCTTAAAAATAAAGCTTATTTGTAATAGAATAAGATCATTTGAGGACACAAAAAGAGAGACATAGAAGAAAAATAAAAGCCTGAGCACAAAAATAATTCAATAATAATAAATGCCTTGTAGTAAAATATAATGAATTTATATTACATGTGTACACAGGACAAATTGTTTGCAGAGAATCCCCATTTAGGGCAAAGCAACAGGCTTGCTTTAACCTCCCTCCAGCAATATATACTTACCTTTCTTTCAATCCCCCATCACTTTCCTTCCTTTGATCCTGTGCCACTCCATTTGGTGCCAGACACCAAAACAAATACCTGGTACTTCTAGGTATGGAGACACATGTGACTCCAAAGCCTTATTTGAGCTACGTCTCCAGCAATTCATAGCTGACACAGGTCCTTGCTTTCACTCCCAGTGGCTGTATGACATAGCAGCAGTGGCGTAACCAGAGTTCTGGGCGCCCGGGGCAGAATTTTTTTTTCGCCCCCCCCATTATATAAACAACCACTGGAACTGTACCCTGCACCTCCCCTCCACACACACATGTTTTTATATTTTTCAAATTTTAATATTTTATTTTTTTTGAAACTTTTTCATTTTTTAAAATCAATTTTTATTTATTAATTAATTTTTTTATTAAATATTTTTATTTTTTACTTTACTGTTAGGGGCTTCGGGGAAATATTGGGGGTCTAAACAGACCCCTGATATTTCCCTTTAAAAATAGAAAAATTGATTGAGGACACAATCCTCAATCTCTTTTTCTGTGTCCCCTGTTATCAATGAACAGGAATCCTTTATGAGTGTTCCTGTTCATTGATAACATGGTATGTTTACTATAACTACAATTATGAATGAACAGGAGGGGATATAGATCACTCCTGTTCATTCATAATTGAGGATATAGTTTACATACCAGGTCCTCAATTATGTACAAACACTCAGCGATCACTGATCAGATTACTTGGCTTTTATGGCTTCTGACAATATCCCCAGATTAGAAACAGTAAATATTAAAATATTTCAGTCTACATGCATAAGATTTGGGGGTCTTTGATGCTTCATTAGGCTCGTTCTTGGCAGCAAGTCGTCATTAGCAACAAGTGTTCACTTAACACTGAATTATCACTTTTGGGAGGGCTCGGTCTTTAAAATATGAGAGATGTCGTGTTAGTTCCTCATTTTATTATTAGCCCAGCACTGTCTCCTAATGCTCAAATAGTGTGACAAACACAGGACTTCTACTCTATTAACGTTATATCCAAGAACATTCTCAAGCACTACCCCAATATCATAATCATTACAAAAATATTCTTACATTATAGAAACATTTTATACATTAATACCTTCTATGGACATTAAATAATACAATTCTATATACTTGCCCCCTAAAATGTATATTAAGGTTAATAACATGGTTAGCAAATTCTTCTAGTCAAGGTTAAGAAACCTGGAACACATCAATAGTAATAATATATAATATAAAATCTATATACATGCATTATAATACAAGAAATGCAAAAGTAATATACAGTAGATATATTGTTATACCCTGCCCTTTTATGCTGCCATAAGAAATAATGTCAAACCAATAGCTTAAAAATAAAGCTTATTTGTAATAGAATAAGATCATTTGAGGACACAAAAAGAGAGACATAGAAGGAAAATAAAAGCCTGAGCACAAAAATAATTCAATAATAATAAATGCCTTGTAGTAAAATATAATGAATTTATATTACATGTGTACACAGGACAAATTGTTTGCAGAGAATCCCCATTTAGGGCAAAGCAACAGGCTTGCTTTAACCTCCCTCCAGCAATATATACTTACCTTTCTTTCAATCCCCCATCACTTTCCTTCCTTTGATCCTGTGCCACTCCATTTGGTGCCAGACACCAAAACAAATACCTGGTACTTCTAGGTATGGAGACACATGTGACTCCAAAGCCTTATTTGAGCTACGTCTCCAGCAATTCATAGCTGACACAGGTCCTTGCTTTCACTCCCAGTGGCTGTATGACATAGCAGCAGTGGCGTAACCAGAGTTCTGGGCGCCCGGGGCAGAATTTTTTTTTCGCCCCCCCCATTATATAAACAACCACTGGAACTGTACCCTGCACCTCCCCTCCACACACACATGTTTTTATATTTTTCAAATTTTAATATTTTATTTTTTTTGAAACTTTTTCATTTTTTAAAATCAATTTTTATTTATTAATTAATTTTTTTATTAAATATTTTTATTTTTTACTTTACTGTTAGGGGCTTCGGGGAAATATTGGGGGTCTAAACAGACCCCTGATATTTCCCTTTAAAAATAGAAAAATTGATTGAGGACACAATCCTCAATCTCTTTTTCTGTGTCCCCTGTTATCAATGAACAGGAATCCTTTATGAGTGTTCCTGTTCATTGATAACATGGTATGTTTACTATAACTACAATTATGAATGAACAGGAGGGGATATAGATCACTCCTGTTCATTCATAATTGAGGATATAGTTTACATACCAGGTCCTCAATTATGTACAAACACTCAGCGATCACTGATCGCTGAGTGCTTGTACCCGTTCTCCTCTCTGACACACACTGTCATAGGAGGCTGCAAGAGGAGAGCCCAGCCTCCTGTGACAGCGCTGGCTGTCTCCGCCCCCACACCGCTCTGCTGCACTGTGATAGGCGGCCGAGCGGTGTGGGAGGAAAGACACCGGCCGCTCACAGCGCTCGTCCCGCAGCGCTCGGCCGGCTGTCATTTTCTCTCTGATTCCTTTCATCCCTGCTGGGCACTGCTCTGTGTCCCAGCGGGGATGAAAGGAATCACGGCCGCGCCGACAAAACGGCAGGAAAATGTCACTTTCGGCATTTAGCCGAAAGTGCCATTTTCGGCCGGCGCCCCCCCTTCACTTTTCGCCCAGGGCCCGCGCCCCTGCTGCACCCCCGGTTGTTACGCCACTGCGTAGCAGGAGGAGTTTAAATGTCTGTGGAGGTCTGCATTAAAGCAGGTCGGTTTGCATGGGGAATCAAAAACTCCCTTTATAGACTGTAACAATATTCCTCACCACTGTTAAATACAAAGAAATGCAAAAAATAACAAATTAAAGACAAAATTAACCTACATCTCAACACCTATGTTCAGGCCAGTAGAACAAACTTTACCATATAGGGAATTTGTGATTTCCCAGGCACCTATACAGTTAGTATGAATTATTTTAAATACAATAAAGACTGTTTAAGCATTTAATCTTAACAGCCTAAATTGTCCTGTACAAAGCTATTAAGCAGCCTGGTCTAGTTACAGTTATTCACAGGTAGCAATCTAATATTATATTCAGTTCTCAAACAGAACATCTTGGGATCCGGTTTGAACCTCCATATTCGTACATTATAAAAGATTGTATTATATATAATCATGTATAATTATTGGGGGAATTTTATAAGCTTAGTTCGCTTACATTAGTTAGAAAATACACCACAGTGCCAAAACTTGTAATAGTCTAAACCAGCTAAAGCTTTTAAGTAAGTAAATACCTTCATATAAATTTTGAGTTAAAATCTACCATCCTTAAAGGCCATAAGAGACCTAAGCTTCCAATGGCCTTCTGTATATGTTAAAGCCCTATTTCAAATTATTGTTGTTTACCAGTTTATTTAACCAGTTGACATCCGCGGTGTTAAACCCCCTTCCCATCCAGGCCATTTTTCAGTATTCAGCGCTGCGGTACTTTGACTGACATTTATTCCGTCATGCAGCGCTGTACTGAAATGAATTTTATACCCTTTTTTGGGGACACATAGAGCTTTCTTTTGGTGGTATTTATTCACCACTGGGGTTTTTATTTTTTTATATATTAAGGAAAAATTACAGATTTAAAAAAAAAACAGTTTCCCCTATATTAAATTCTAAAACATTTATAATTTCCCAATTTTTTGGTAAAATATAAAAGACGGGATACCATTTTATTGATGTACATCTCTCCCACTTTACTTTTTCCCTTTGCAAAATAAGATAATATACATTTATTATTATTATTATTATTATACAGGATTTACATAGCGCCAACAGTTTGTGCCTTTCTCACAGTGGTCACCCTGTAGCACCTAACTCATTGCTACAGATTTTGGTATCAGACAGAAGGGCTTGGTTTGACCCCTAAAAATGATTTATTTATGGGTTATCTCTCC